ACTTGGGATTCCTTGGGACTCCTCTTGATTTGGGAGGGTCTCTTTGCTGGTGATTTTTTTCCCCTGAGGGATAACAGAAATTTGCATGCAGTAACAATCCTTTATTCTAACTTGCTTTGTGTTCCTTGACTCCCTGGATGCATGCAGGATGGTGATTGTCATGATTTTGATGTGACAATGGGTGATTGTTTTGACTCTTGTTTGATGACTGAGTCGTGCATGAAATGATGACAATGAGATGATTTCCTGACTATGGTGACATTTCAGATGTAAGCGCCCTTTGATGTTGTGGTGCATGGTTTCTTCCTAAGGCGTGCAAAGCGATGACAGTGATGATGGAATGATTTTGTTCAATGATGATGGTGATAGGTTGGTGTTAGGTTCCATGGTGATGATTAAACTGAGCAGTTTACACTGTATGTTTCTAGGTTACTTACTCTTCTTCGGATATTGAGGTTGCATCTGCTGCAAACTGGAAATTTTGACCCTCCATTATCTTCATAACATAACTGGCCATTTGAATCTTTGTATAAATATCGGTTGCAGTGTGCAATGTCTGTCTGGCAATTACTGCATGTTTCCTGTGAAATAGAAGCTAAATTTAGCTTGGAAGTGGAGTGAAACATAATATAGTTGTAGATAAAATAATCACACAAAACATAGAACACGTGAAATTTGTTTTAAAAATAAATGAGTTCGAAAAAAGAAAAGTAATGTATCATTTAGTAATTTTGTTGCCCACAATTATACCACTTACTTTTAGACTATTAGGCTATATTTCAATTAAGTGTTCAGAGAAGCTGAGGCATTAATCCGGAGTCAAGGAATTGTTTTTCTGTTATAGTGACCGACTGTGAACTTAAATTATTTTGTTTAAGGCCTACAGCTAAAATTATAATGCTTGAACCAATACTGGTAAGAGTAAGGAAATTTTTAACTAAATTAATTATCGTGAAAAATGTAATTTTGGAAACTTACTTAAATACTTTTGATGTGTATTGGTACTCGTGAAACCAAAAATATTTGGAGAAATTTGAAATTAGTACTCAATATCATAGGGGGCTTGGTGGTTTTTTATTTCAAAATAGAGGATTTTTTTATAGAAAAACGCATCTAGGGAAAATGGTTCAACAGGTGGGTCAGCAATTTTATTAAAACAAAATGCAAGTGTTCAGTTCAGAATTTGTGAATTGAAAAATTAATTATTATTTAATTAATACAATAAAAACTCGAAGGACCGAAAAAGAATTAAATACAAAAAAACATTCACACCGGGTATATATATCTTGAAATATCAAGGACTTTTCTGAAAGATCAGGGATATTCCTCAGGAGTTTTTAACACTTTATTAATGACAACAACAAAATGACAACTTGGTAATTAATCAACCTGTTTCAGGATCAAACAACTTTTAGGTTTAAGGCGAGCTATACAAGGTGGAAAAAAAAGTCCTGGGAAGGTTAAATATTTCAAAGTTAATGAACACAGAGCTTTTAAACTTGGTACACTGTTACTGGGCATTAATATCATTTAAAACATTATTCAAAGATGCGCTACCTCCTCAGGAGGACGGCCCACTAGGAGTCAGAAGAAAATCTTAAATGTAGGCAAAGGTTGATATGCACATCAAATTAAAGGTCTTACTAGTAGAATGTAATGCCGCAAGCCCGAACTCAAATGGACAACCGTGTCAAAAATAACAGCTTTTCAAAGGTGTGTTGAATTTACATATAATAGCGTACATATAATGCTATTATACGCACCTTATTTCATGGTTTTTTAGTTGTTTTTTTTTTGGCTCAACTTTGTCCTCTTCTTCTTTTGGCTCTTCTGCTGACAACAAAAATCCATCTTTATTACAAGTACAGGATGAAAAATTGTATTAATTTAAAAGAAAAGTCATTGTTGTGCCTGGTAAAAATTTGACACGTTATTTTATTGTCTGTATTGATTGTGTGTGTGATTGTTGAATGTGAAAATGAAATTGACTTGCTTATCCAGAGATGGGCTACAATCAAGGATTTTATAATGCTAATGGCAATGATTTGTACTGAAGGTTCTAATGCACTGTGAACAATATGAACATGGATTGGCCTATTTTTTTACAAAATAACTTAATTAATTGTTACCATAATTAAAACAACCAAATTTTATAGTTGTTCGATATTCATATCTTTAGACTATTTAGAAATTAATCATTATGTTAATTAAGTCAGTGGCTAATTAATCATGCTAATGTGTAAATAAATCACCATCCTTTTTAGTGTAATATTATTTAGTCTCAGTAACAATTTATTGTAAATAGAATCCCGCTTTCAATATTCAAATGAGATTGAGATTAAGTTGAAAACATTCACACGATAGAATAAGTAGATACATCATTAATAACTACAAATATTCTACTACTTGCGACCTTTATTCCAAACAAAAGAATGTCCAATATTAGCATTATACTGATTAATGGTAGATACAGAATTATGAAAATGTTCAGTTCAGAGTACAAATCTTTAAACACTAAGGGTTGGTAGTTTGAAAACCCATAAAGTGCAAGCTAACTTCTCTGTTGGAATACACTTAAATGTGGTTTTGCGTTTGCAATATCTCATTTGATCAACGAATTTCCTTTTGCGTTTTAAAGTATTGAAGAGAGTAATTTTCTCTACACTGCTGTTTAAAAAACTATATTTGATGAATAAGTTAACACCTTTAGTTTTATAATATTATTCGCACAGATTTATTAGAGTAGCCATATTACGGTTTTAGTAATCATAAATGTAATGGCGTGATGGTGATATTATTGTGAAGTGTGTTTGTGTTCCTGGTTCAAATGGGACTAGGCCTACGTCAAAGCTAGGCCTACTGCAATCTTCAGAATTAATTGTGATTTAATTTTTAAAAAAAGTCCTTGTCATGATTTTAATAGTACAAAATAACTAACAGTATAAAATAACGTATAATTTTTAACCAACCTAACTTCTAATCAGGTGCTTCAAATGATAAAACCCAGACTAATTTATGTCAAAAATTTTAAAAAACCTATTTTCAAAATTCCATGACCCCTAAACCCAAATTGTTCTTGGACCTTTCCTCCGTGGTTTTTCTTGTTTTTGGTTAGAACTGTGGGCCAGTCCTTGCCCCTGCACATGTGATCCACGCTTGCGTTCGCTTGGGTGCATGTACGAGGGCGTGGTTCAAAAGTGTTTTTCTAGAACATTTTTGTATTTTTTACCTGAGCTTGAGCTTAAAAATATTTAACGATCACTGGCCTTTCATGACTAAGTACACTAAATATTTCTAGGTTACTTACTTCCTTCCTATAACTCTGTGTATAACATGCTGGGCATACCCTTACATATATAGTTGTTGTATTATTCTTGTTTAATTTTCTTGCATTCTTGACACGTTTTTTTTTTTGCAATTATTGCAGGTAACCTGTGAAACAGATAAACTCTGGTAAATTATGTTATGTATTTCACCCTGGTAAAAACATGTTTAAGTGCAGAATGTACCATATCTGTAAAAAAGTAGTATTTCAGGAGAAATTCCAGAATATTTTCATAATTCCCTGACTTTTACAATAAAATAATATTATAGATTACAACATAAACATATGAGTAAATGTTATCGACCAATAAACCTCATGATTTTAACCCATCGTTATAAGCAATTTTCTTTAGTCTTGCCATATCTTTACTTATAATTTGCTTCTCTTATTTATGCTCTTGACTCTCTCAAACTTTAACTCTCTCTTTCCTTCGTAAAACTATATACATAGCACGCTGGGCACACCAATGTATATTATGTTCAATTCTTACTGTACAATTTTCTGCATTTTTTAATCTGCAATTTCTTTTGGAAGTTATTGCATTAACCTGTGAAACAGAAGCCAAATTTTTAGTTTGGAAGTGGAGTGAAACATAGCACTAATAAGGTTTATGTTACCTGGCTTCTGTCTCCGATCTACGGTAACCTTTTTTGGGTTATTGTTTGTTTGATCTAATATTAATCAGGTTTTGTGTGTCGCTTATGGTGTGTTTTGTTGTTACAATTTTAATCTTACAAATTCAGGCAGGCTCTTGTTCTTTCCTGTGCATAGGGCTCTCTGTGGCGAAGGCATAGTTAGTCATACCTGACAACCACCCTACTAGCCTAATTCATTACACCCGGCGTTCTAAATCGTGGGCCTACACTTATCTATAACTTATAATATAATAGGGTTATATCGAAATTGTTCGTGTAAACGTACCTATGGGTGTTGGCGACAAGGCGGCACACAAAAGCCTCCACCTCCATAACTGCTTCGGTCGGGTTGGGTCTGTACGTCTCGTCGACTAGTCTGCCGTTGGCGATGAGGTACGTCGACATTTCTAGGATCAGTTGCTGGCGCAGGTCCTCTGGTAGATTCAGATTCCTCAACCCATTTCTCGCTCCAGCGGCCGTTTCGAGGTACTCAGGTAGCCATGTTATTGGCAAGGCCACTGGATGGTTGGCGGGTGGTTGGCCGTAGGAAGTTGAGGGCTGGGAGTTGTCAGGTAGGGAGGAACGGGCCGGCTGAGGGGGATTGACAGGTTGAGAATGGGCTGGTGAATTTGCTGAGGGGTGCGAGTAGGGGTCGGGCTGTGGTGTGGGGGGGGGCAGGCTTTAGTGTTGGCAGTGAGGGTCGACGTCAACAGAATTTGTGACATTTCACTTACCCTCTTTTTCAATTTCTCTCCGGGATCTTAATTTTTTCCCCTCAGGGGTGTGGTAATAAACATCACCCTGATTGGAAGCACTGCGGAAGACTAATTCTCTCTTCCAACCTAAATACAAATTAAGAGTTAGAACAGTTTAAATAAACATATCCTATACTATTTCTTGTGAAGTAGAAAGTAGTAATTTTCAAATATTGAAATATTCAAGACTAAATAATAAATAAATGTCAACACAATGTCTTGGTACAATGCTCATTTCAAAATTCACTACTTCATGTTGAGGTTCATTCGATTTGGTTTCCATGGCTAGTTGTTCACTGCTGGGGGAGAATTCACTATTTCATGTTGAGGTTCTTTCGATTTGGTTTCCATGGCTAGATGTTCACTGCTGGGGGGAGAATTCACTACTTCATGTTGAGGTTCATTCGATTTGGTTTCCATGGCTAGATGTTCACTGCTGGGGGAAGAATTCACTACTTCATGTTGAGGTTCATTCGATTTGGTTTCCATGGCTAGATGTTCACTGCTGGGGGGAGAATTCACTACTTCATGTTGAGGTTCATTCGATTTGGTTTCCATGGCTAGATGTTCACTGCTGGGGGGAGAATTCACTACTTCATGTTGAGGTTCATTCGATTTGGTTTCCATGGCTAGATGTTCACTGCTGGGGGGAGAATTCACTACTTCATGTTGAGGTTCATTCGATTTGGTTTCCATGGCTAGATGTTCACTGCTGGGGGGAGAATTCACTACTTCATGTTGAGGTTCATTCGATTTGGTTTCAACACTTGAACGCTTATCACTGGAGGGAGACGGCGTGACTACTTCGGAGGGCGAATTTTCCACTTCACGTCGAGTTTCTTTTAATACGATTTTATTGGAAAGCTTTGCACCCGTGAAGGGAGATAGTTTTGAGACTGTGGTGGGAAAATCTATAGCTTTGGTTTGCCGTTCTTTTAGCTTTTTCTCCAACACCAGTCTTGTAATTGTATCGAGCCTATTGCTTTTTGGTTCAGGACCCTCCTTAGTTTTCATTCTGGATTTTTGGATTTTTTTTACTTGAATCAGGGATACTATAAGAAACCTTTTTGACTTTCTTTGTGTTTAGATTTTTTTACGCCTTAGGTTATATGTTCAGAGGGAAGATCTTATTGAACCCAGGTTCGCACTTAATTTGAATTGGTGATTTTTGTACGGAACTTTCAACTGGAGTCTGCTCTTTTTTTGTTTCTGTCGTCGGTATCTTATTTTGACCCTCTGTAGCTTCTTCCTGTACGACGTGTTTTATTTCTTTGTTTCTTCTTTCTTTGTCATACGTTATTTGTTGTTGTGACTGTTTCCAATGCGATGTCAACTGGTGGATCGTCTTTACGTTTATGTGTCAACTTGACCTTTTTCTCCTTTCTCACAATTTCCTCTCCCACGACGTCTCTTATTTCCATTCGATTCTCTTCGCATCTGGGTAGGACGGTTTCCAATGCAATGTCAACTGGTTGGTCGTCTTTACGTTTATTTGTCAACTCGACCTTTTTCTCCTTTATCCTAATTTCCTTTCCCATGACGTTTTTTATATCTTTTCCCTTCTCATCGCAACTGGGTGGAACTGTTTCCAGCACGATATTAACAACTGGAATATCTTCTTTAAGTTAACGTTTTTTTTTTCTTTCCGATAACTTCTTCTACGGCGTGTTTAATTTCATTTCCATTCACTTCGCAAATGGGTGGGACTGTTTCCTTAACTTAACTTAACTAAATAACTGAGCCAAGCCACATCTATATCACAGCCATTTTGATGATCTAAATTTAGTAATGCATTTAACCAATTATACTAATAAATAAGAATAAGCTAAAAAACTCCCTTCGCGCCTTATGGGCCCGAAAGGTACGCTTAACTCGGTTCTACATAGTATAAATATTTAATTAATGATAGAATCCCTAACCCCTTAGTCCCCCCCCCTTTACTGAAAAGAATTAGAACATGATTAATATAAATCTAATAATTAAACTTAACGCTATAACTTATCGGTCTCATTCCCATTCCTCCAGTGGTTCCAGGCGATGACTGCGGACTGCCCTTCTTATTCTACCCCTTCCCTACTCCTTCCAGTGTACGCGACTAAAGCGGATTGCACCGGTTGATAGCAGTGCGGCTGTGACGCGAGCGTCACACTATGGTCTAAATAGAAATGTAACCAATTCATCATTTTAACTTAAGCTTATCAATCTAATAATTTAGTTTGTGGCTTGAAAATAAATGTTAAATTAGTCTCTATATCATTTTAACCCCTTCGCTTACAACGACGGCGTCGCGCTCCCGTTAGCCATTGTGTGAAGCGACGGCGAATCGCCGTCCGCTATTAAAACCTGTTTGTGCCGAGTTAGTTCCCCAGAAATCCAATAGATCGCATATGCTTCTTGTTCTATGATTTCCAGGCTTTCTTTTGGTTATATTTTCGTCATCTCAGTCCAGTCCAATCGGCAAAAAAACTGAAGTTGAAATGGTGCAACTTAGCAGCTGACGACGTCTACACTGGTTTCACAGCTGATACGTTGTTGTGTTTACTTCGACGATGTAAACATTGTGTTAGAGCCTTGTTTTACTTTATTATTTTATTGAAAAGTGTAGTTATCTTATAAAATAAGTTATAGAATTTACTTAGTGTTAGTTTTTATCAGTATTTTACTTTTTCGTCGTTATAATGACTGAGTTATTAGGCCTATCATGTCGTGTTTCACTTCGTCGTGATAAAGATTGAGCTACAGTATCTTGTTTTACTATATTATTCAATTGAAAAGCTTTTGTATAATACGATGAGTCTTCAAAATAACTTGGTATTCGTGGATGAATGTGGAAAAGAGTTAGATGAAAGTGACATCATAAAACTTATAGGGGATTGTGACAGTGACAGTGATTGTGACTTGTTTGAGGAGAGTGGTTGGAGTGATGATGATGATTTGGAAGGGAGCAGAATTCAAGTGAGTAATAAGTCTAATACGCCTATTGATTATGAGACCACAGTTTCCCCAGAACATAATACTAATTGTGTTAGGCCTAGGCCATTAGAAAGTGACCAGTTGTTGCTTGAACAGCCTTCTTGCAGCTATGCTAGGCCTATGACCCCTCCAGATGCCCTTTCTGTCCAATATAATTCAGATTTGTCTAGTAGGCCTGAAATATTTGATCAGCATGTATCTTCTCCATCACGTGATGAAGAATTGCCTAAATCAGTCCAGTTTCTTGATCGGTTATACCGCGGTAGTATGAGCGCGCCTTCTCTCTCGCCTACACCGAGTGAGGAAGCTGACGACCCTGGTTTCCCTGACTCTAGGCCTATAAATGATATAGATAGTGGCAGGCATAGGCCTATGACCCCTCCAAATGTCCAATCTGATTTAGATTTGCCTATTAGGCCTGAATTATTTGACCAGCATGCATCTTCAATCGTGCCTGCCCTCTCACCTACACCGAGTGAGGAAGCTGACGACCCTAGCTTTCCTGACCCTAGGCCTAAAAGTAAACCTGTTAGGGGCAGGTCTAGAGGAAGAGGTAGGCCTATAGGAAAAAAAGCTATTTCACAACCATCTAAGCCTACTAAAAGGTCCAAAACTCAAACTAGTAACGATACAGCTCCACCAAAAAAGAAGAAAAAGGAGGGTTGGCAGTGGACCAGTACCATAGAAAGTAATATAATAAATAAAATCCCTTTTACTGGTTGTCCTGGTGTTAGAGCAAGTTTGGCTAGAAGTTTAGGCTCAGCTCCCTCTGAATTAGATGTTTTCAATGCGTTTCTTGATAATGACTTTTGGCAACATGTTGCAACAGAGACTAATAATTATGCCAAAGAAACAATTAAGAAAAAGAACGAAGCAGGCGGGGTAGGAAAAACTATATACTCAGAATGGTTTGACACAACTGCAGATGAGATGGCTTGTTTTTATACACTTTGTGTCCTTATGTCGCTAGTAAAAAAAAGAACTATACAATCATACTGGTCGCCTAATGCTGTAACTGAGACCCCTTTTTTTCGTAAAGTGATGCCATTCCGCCGTTTTTTGCTACTGTCCACATTTTTCCACCTTACAGACAATAATAGGAAACCTGTGAATGATAAACTGTGGAAGTTAAGGTACGTTATTGAGTACATGAACAGGAAGTTTTCCCATCTGTACATACCTGATGAAAACATAGCTGTCGATGAGAGTCTTATGAAGTTCCGAGGGAGGTTGGGCTATGTCCAATTTAATCCCAAGAAGAGAGCCAGATTTGGCATAAAGTTTTACAAGTGTTGTGAATCTGGAAGTGGTTATTGTTCTAAATTTAAGATCTATACTGGAGCTGAAGTCAAAGAAAATGTACCGGTTGAAGAAGGAAGTGGGGATTCTACACAGGAGGAAAAGCTGTTAACGAGTGAGGCGATAGTCGTTGAAATGACAAAAGATTTGGCAGGAAAAGGACATACTCTGACAATTGATAATTGGTACTCCTCACCTCTTCTCTTCTATAGACTTAAGCAAATAGGTTTCAATGTAATTGGAACAGCTAACTGGTGGAGATCAAACATGCCAGAGAGCTTCAAAGAGGGTAAACTTAAGTTGGGCGACTACGAGACAGCCTATAGCCACGATATGTTAGCAGTAAGGTGGCAGGACAAGAAGCAAGTTTGCATTTTGTCTACCTTTCATCAAAAAGCTGACAAAAGATCAACTGGCAAGAAAGACAGAGTTACCCAAGAAATTATAACAAAGCCAGAACCAGTGATCTACTATAATCGTTCAATGGGTGGAATTGACCGCGAGGATCAGCAATTAGCGTCGTTTCCTAGTATGAGGAGGTATGCTAAGGGATACAAGAAGATCTTCTTTTACATAATGGACATTGGCCTTTTTAACTCTTATGTAGTGTTCAAAAAATTAACCAGAAAAAAATTGGGGTTTAGTGAGTTCAAGGAGAGGTTTGTCAAGCAAATGTTTGAGTCGCGACAACTGCCACCGTACAATCGAAGAGGACGATCATCCAACTCAGAAACACCTCTGAGGCTCCAGGCAGCAACTTGGGGACATTTTCCTAGGCCTATTCCTCCAAATGAAGTCAAACAAACACCTTCAAGAAGATGTAAGGTGTGTAGTGCCCAGGGAAAGCGCAGTGACAGCCGATGGGAGTGTGAGCTCTGCCTTGTCGCACTTCACATGCCAGAGTGTTTCAAGGCATACCACACCAAAATGAACTTTGCTTGACATTTGGTGAGTTTTTATAAGTGTCATACAGTATTATAGACTAGTTCCAAAACATATATGAGCCCTATGTAGCTAAAAATTACCAATAAAAAAGTTTTTTTTAATTTTTTAATTTTTTTATTTTATTTTTATATGGTATAATAAAAAATTATAGTTATATTTTTTTTGGAAATATTTATATATTTTGAATCTACATTTAATTTTGAATAAGAAAATAATAATATCTTGCATATAAATAGTAAATGTTGCCTGAAAAAAAATTAAATCAGAAATGAATGAAACTAGCCACAACAAATTCGTTTGTTTTGGCCTAGGCGGGTAAAAAAAAAATCATAAGTGAATGGGTTAAACAATTCATATATTTTATTTCATATGCTGATAAAAACAACACAAAAGAAAAATAGTTTGTAGAGTAAAGAATTATTTTGTAGTTATGATTGATAGTTTGGTAATGTAACATTATTTTTATTACTACCCGTAAGCTTTAAATCACTTTCGTCCACTTTTAGTATCCTCAAAAAATGCATTTTTTTTTTAAATTGATAATAGGTTTTATCTACTCCTTCAGCATACACCTGTGTAGGCGTTTGTCTCCGTTTTCTTTGTCATGAAAGGAAAATTGTAGACACCTATAAATAAGCATGAACCTATCTCTAGACATGTACTTTCTGAAGAAACCTACGTTTAATAAATCATCAGATCTCCAATAATCCTGCAATCTGTTTATTCTGATATTACCCTGGTGAATTACTAGTGCTAGGAAAATCTTCAGTTCTGGAACTGTGAGCTCCTTCCAGTTG